GGACTAAATAGGCCCTTATTTAATCACATATACTAATTATGAAAATATTTACAATATTTCATTTACACAAAAATTGGAACCATTTATATGTCAGTGGAATTAAAATCGAAATCGGATTTAAATCCTACCAAAGTTTTTACTATTTTAATAGTTTCATGTGTTTCTCAATACAACTAGGTATCATAGGTGCCCCCTCCACCCCGGCGGATAGTGCTCAAGTGGTGGGTGGTAAAAATGTACCTACAACAACAGTATTTTTGGGGCTTTATCGTTATATACAATAGTTATTTACATAGAAGTCAGGAAAAGGACACATTACTAGCGAGGACATATTGAAGTACAAAGCCCCCTTTGGGGCCGAGTACGTTAATTTACGAGTCTAGTAGTGTGATTTTACTGACGAGTTTTGTATTAAATTTTACATAAAATCGCATTTCAATATAAAATTTCAATTTCCATATAGAACTTTTGATTAATGTCAATCTGTCAGTGATGACAGGAGTCATTAGGTACAGACATTACCAATGAGACAGGTGCGGCAGGAAAAGTGATAGGAGTGGCCGGTAAAGTGACAGATGCGGCCGGTAAAGTGACAGGCGGCAGGAAAGGTAGACTGGTCTGCCTCTGTCATGGAAATTAAACTTTCCTGACACAAAGTAGTCATGAAAATAAAGGTTTCAGGACGATTTTGTGTAAATAAACTAGTCACACGATCTTGAAATTTACATTTGCCGACGGATTCCTGATGGACAGCTTTACGATACAATGGAACAAACTGCTTATAAGATGACTGTATCGAAGGTGGTAAAACGGCTACTGTTTTCAAATCTTCTTGAATTTGTGGACTTTGATGGGTTAAATTTTGAATATAGCGAACCGTTGTGGGCTTATTATCGTGTTGAAACTTTTTTTTTATTTCGTGCCATTTTTTTTAAGAGAAAGGGAAAATTTTAGTTTTTTTTCGTACACCAAATTTAATTAACGTAAAATTGTTCCCTCAAATATAATGCGCCTACATTTCTCGTACGGAAATGATTCACATCTCCTAAAAATTCCCCTCAGGATGATTCACTCCGGGAGATTTCTCGCGTGTAACTCGCCCAAAGGTCCGTGAAGTTGGAGGCACGACATGAAAATATTCCACTATATTGGCATGGTATAATTTTGTGCTCATTGTATGCCAAATTTTTGCCATATAATACAAATTTTGTGCTGAAGCCGTAACGAAGGTATTCCAAATCCTTGATCCGCACCTCCAATTCGTCAAAATCAAAGTGCCGTAATGTCATAATTTTGTGCTCATTTCGTGCCAATTTTTACCGTATAATACATATTTTGTGGAGTGATTTGGTTGTTGATCCGGGGTAGGTATTTAGGAGGTTGGGCCAGGTGTATTTCGGTAATTGGCCTCGAAAGTACACGTCATCTTGGATAATGGCACCGACATCTTGGATGCTGGATCCATCTTGGATGCTAAACTCATCTTGTATGTTAAACCCAACATCTTAAATGCTGGACCCACTATCTTGGTTAAGGTTGTACGTTAAGATGATGCATTCAATGGAAGCAGGTCAGATTAACAGAAACAGATCGATTAACATGACTATGACAGACTTGTTTAAACAGACCTTTTTCTGATGGTTAGCCCTGCCAACTACCGAAATATAGCACCCCAGGTCAACTGCCGAAATATATTCCCACGTTCCCCAGAACTTTCCCTGAGCAAAGTACCGTTATACCTACTCATATAATTTTAAAACTGTTATCGATGCCCACTAAATTTGAAATTTACCAAATATTAGACCATAATGTAAATATTGTCATCCTATTTACCTCCCTTGAAGGAACGACAATTTTGTTTAACACCTCTCAAAACCCCCTTTATTTTAAAAAATTCAAATTGGTTGCTATACTGGTTTTAAGGAGAATTTTTCTAAAGAAATTCTTTTAATGTTATGGTTTTATCCGTCCGTGAGTCCATCCGTTCCTCGAGAACGGAAAGAAAGCGCTGTCAAACCTTCACGCTTTATGTCGTACGAAATTTTTATATTTACATTTATTTTTACATTAGAACTAATGTATGACTTGTATCTATGTATTACAATTATATTGAAACAGGAGAAATAAATCTTGAATCTTGTACCTCCAACTTCACGGACCTCTTTCTCAAAGGAAAATTCATGGTCAGGAAAATTGGATCCCAAAGGATTGATCTCGTCTTTGACATAACTGCTATGCGTAGCCCGTTTCAAATAGTGCAGTCTCATAATGAAAAGAACAACCAAAAGCAAATACTAAAATTCCATTTTCATGCCAGAGTGACCCTTCAGAATACTCGTCCCGGACAAACTCTGTCCAAACACCAAACGCCCTTTTGGTATAATAGCTCAAAATGGCAGATTGCACCGTCAAATTTAGTCCATGCAACATTTAGCAATTTTTGTAATTCGTTTTTAAATCTATAGGACCAAGATATAGGAAACAGAAAATACACTTTCAGCAACTTGTATATTTGATCAGGACATTTTTATTATACCATGATCAGGACATAATCAGGACTATTCAGTAAATAGGTACTCCCCGCGTTGGAAAACTCAACCTGGGAAATACGACCTCGAAGGTTGCCCCAGAATATTCATTAATTGAAGAATCGTTTGCGTATATTTATCCCCAGTAAAATCCGGTCATGGAAAATTCACCCCTCACGAAAATTTAGCAATAGTGAAAATTTTCCGAGAGTAAACTTTCCGGGTGCGAATCGTCAAGGGGCGAATCTTCCAGAGAAGAATCATTCTAGGAGCGAGTTTTCCGTGATGAATTTCTCCCATTCGTTTTTAGCGCCAATTCTTCCTCACCGGGGTCGGCGATGCCCATATTACGCCACTTCGTTCGTTTTGATTGCGTAAAGGAAAAAGAAATTAGGGCTGTCAACTCGAGGATTCGCAACCCAATGTCATGCTTTCGTACAGGCATATTGAACAACCTCTCGGTTAATGATTCAATTTTGGACATGTTTTCCCAAAAAAACTAAAAACATCTGATGATACATTTAGTGCATTATTATATTAGCAGTATAAGTCCATCAAGATAAATTGATGAAATAATAGTAATTATACACCAAGGCAGAGACGTTGATTTTCTTAGCCGAGCGGTATTATTTCCCGAGACGCTTCGCGTCGAGGGAAATAAGAAGCGAGGCGATGAAAAGTCTTCCCTACCGTGGTTTATATATCGGGCGATCAAAAATGAGTGACTGTCGAGTCGCCTTTGGAAGTACAAGTTAAGTACGATTTCCCTTGTAAACAAAATTTCCAAAGGTGACTCGACGGTCACTCATTTTTGATCGCTTTGTATTATTTTATTCACTACTAGCAGATGAACTGTTTTAACACATATTTAAATATCGTTAGAAAACACGATTTTAACGATTTTAAGTATACTTATGATAGGTTGGTACTTTTACAAGAGGGCTGTGACTTTGACATTACATTATTTGTAAGTCGCATTTTGCGTGTTTCGCTAATTTCTGTTAAATAAATATGGATAGTGCACTCCTCCAGACATACGAGAGGCAGTAAAAAGCGTGGCCGCTAACGACCTCTTGTCTGAAAAATCAAAACATTAGTACAATAAAATTTATTTAAATTTTAAAGAGTGGTGTCAAACAAAACGTGTTTCACAAGTTAATGAAAATGTTATGTTGGTGTATTTCGAAGAATATCGCGTACAATAATTGTGTGATTAATTATAATTTTCAAAAGTAAGTTCTTTAAGTTCTGTTCAGTTCAATAAAATCCTCGTTTACTTCGTTAACAATGTAGAACGGTAGATTTATTTATTTATTACCCCTAATTATGGCAACCCAAATGTCAAATTCATTATCTCCTACTAGGAGAGAAATAATCCACGAGGTAGAGAAAAATAAAATCTAGCATCGAATACTAGCCTACTAATTATACGTTGTAATGCTAGTAGTGAATAAAGGATCTAATGACACTGTGACTTCCATTTGAATTGATGAGTAAAGTTTACTTTGCAATTAAAGTGAGAGTTTTCCTCGGATTATCTAAGTTTTCAGAGTGCTTCTGATAAAAAATTAATGGAAATGAACATAGATTGAGAAAGTATGTTCTCATTTAAGAAGTGTGATTTTTATTTAAACGTCATTGCCAAGATCAAAAACATTTTGCGACTCAAGACAGCTTTCCGGGAAAATTTCTCAATTTACTTGAACTATAATTTAGAACAGAATCTTCATAAAGTACTTTCTTCTTCTTTGTTTTGCCTTGCTATCCGGGTGCAGCAGAAACTCCCCTTTCCTATACAACTGAACGAGTACAGAATCGTGATCAAATTACCTACGAAAAGAATTAGCACCTTGACAAAAAACTTCTTACACGTTTAGTAGTTTCCGAAACGGTTAATGTAATAAAAGCTTTGCGATTGTTGGGATTTTTCTCTGGGAAATCATAATACGTGGCGGAGCAAACGAGCGAAGTTTCTCACTTTTGTCGGCAAACGGTTGTACAAATACGTTGCCCGATTGGAAAAACAACCAACGCAATGTTTTCATTTTCCCCATTATTTCGGTAACATAATATGTTCACACAAAGCGAGCATTGGGAACCGTTGTATAACATGGCTCGCTATCTCTACAAAACTAAAATAAAACAAATTTCTTTCGGCACAAAAGAAACTCTTTGTTTTTGCGTTGCAAAACGAGCGATGCACGCCCCTAATGGGGGCTTTTCTAAGCGCAAAAAACGAGGCACGCTGGTTTATTTATGGGCCTTACATAAATGCGCTCGATCACTACAACGTGATGTATGTTAAACATTTTCCTGACCAATCTCGATTGTTTGCGGCAAAAAAACGGGAGTCGGTACGTGTTAAATCCGGAGAGATCGCAAACGGGGTGAAACACAGCGAGCACGCAAAGATTAAAAATTGCTAATCGTCCCTCCGATCGTGCGCCATTTTTTATTTGCTAAAGTACTTACTTTTCTAATCCAACGAAAGCGTCGGGCTCGACCGTGGTGATCTTGTTCTCGTAAAGCGTCAAAATTTCTAACGTATCTAAACCTTGGAACGCTCGATTGGGTATGCTGTTAATATTGTTGTGGTTCATATTTAAGATGAGGAGGTGATGCAAATTTTTATAGGCGGCCGATGGAACGGATGTTAAGCTATTTTGAGATACGTCCAGTTGCGTCAACATTTTACCTGTAACAGAAAAAAAAGGGGATGATGCTTTTTCTTACATTTTTAGATACGCATTTCCGGATGAAGAGGCACTTTTGCGCTTACGTGCGTAAGTGGTTAAATGTCGGAAAATGTGAATTTGTCATAAAAAAGAGTTTAAAAAAAGCTACACGTATACAAGGGATGTAATAAAAGACCCTTTTATGTTTAGTGTTTGATACATTTGACATTTATGTCCCACAAAGTTTTAATTTCCCTTCTGAAAAGGTTACGTTTGAGAACTTCTCCATAGGTACGTGTGTGGTTGCCCAATTGTTTTAGGGGGTGGAATCCCAATGCACATTTTTTTTAAATGTATTCCCAGAAGTACTGTCATAAATTTATCATTCACAAACTCGTACACCGTGCAGCTTAAAATGTTAATGCACTTCATCAACAAACCTTATGGGAGTACATTTTGTTCGTGCTTGGGTTTAAAAATTCATCAACTGTTGAATTATCGTTTTCGTAAGCGTAACGAATGCTTGCGTATCGTGAACGGTCGCAATTTATGTATCAATTAGCGGCCATCGTCGAGCATAAAAGGTATACGATTTCCCTGGAGGTGTGTAAAGCGTTCCAAAATTATGAGTAACATTGTCCAAAGTCAACCTTCTTACATGGGGCGCTCGTACCTATAATTTTATCTCCGCCACCACACCTTGTTTGATACTCTTCAGAAATCTCGAATTTATGTGACTTAAATTCTCAGTTGCATTCTGTCTTGAGTACTTGTATAAGCACTTATTCAGTTATTCCAACTTATTTTGTGTTTTCGACAAAGCTCGTATGAGGGCGCACGTTTATTAAGCTGAAAAATGGCGAACCCCATCTCAGAAACGGCAGTTTTATTGTCCATGACCTCCTTAATCACACAGTCTTTGTTGAAGTGAACTCTTAGGTCTGTACAGGAATGCTTATTAAACAACAAATGTTTATAATAAGAAAGCGAAATATTTATTGTTGCGTAAATTTACATTTTTTAGACAATGGTCAATTTTTGCCGCATTGTAATTTGTTTATTTTCTTGTAAAATTACGTTAAGGAAAGATTAGGGATATTTGTTAGAATAACAGTTGTGTTTATCCCTAAAAGTTAGTTAATTTGTAACCAGATGGTCGCAGATGTGCCGCTGTAGATAGGAATTGTGCGTATTTTAACAAAACAGTAAGGAAGTGGAAAAGGTCATCAAAAATAGAGGGAAAAGTTGTTAAATGGAAGATGAAGTCTTTTAACGTGGTGGTCGTTTCGCTTTTCGCAATTTCAAGATGGCCGTCGTTATCTGGTTCACAGACAGACAGACGAACACTTAATAAAAGTTTGTGTCACAGACTCCACCAGTAGTGAAAAATATTCAATTTTTTGTTACAGCCTCTCCAAGTAACCAGAGGAAAGTTATACTTATTCACAAACAACATTTACTACGCCTTTTCCCTTATACGATTGTGCGATTTAGTTAGATTTGTTTGCACATTTTACTTACACCATCTTCGATACGGTACCCCATTTGAAAGGTTAGAGAAAATCTTGATTGTCTGTTTGGGATTTCACGTTTCGCCCCGTAGCGATCATCGAATGAATAAAAAATACCCTAAAGCTCGATCTTTATTACTTTCTGAGATAAAGCCGGCACTTACAAATCCTTCATGTGTTTTCTTTGTGCGCCCACCTAAATTTTCTGATTTGTAGGCTTTAAAGCGCTTAAAATTGAGTTATTTCACTGGAAAATGATCTAAAAACCTACAGATGCACAGTTTCGTACGGAACCGGGATCAGTTACCAAAAACGTTAAGTGTTTAACATTTTCATTTAATTGTAGGTAAGAACAACAAAGCCGAAAAGTGCAATCACTAAATCAGTTTAGTTGGGTCTCTAAGGTTAAAAGTTTTATCATTTGTCAACAGGGTTCCCGCACCGGGGAAAGGAAAATACCTTTAAAAGGATCTGTAGGTGAAACGCATATAAGGGAACATTTTTTATCAGTGTCAAAAGGTATAGTGTCACGAGGGTGGGATAAAAGCCAAAAGGTTATGTGAGAGATTGTGATCCTACTTTCAAGCTCGTGAGTTTAAGCAATCAGGAAAAAAACCAGTTCCGTTTTCAAACTAATATCTATAAATAAGTAAAGAATGGACCGAACGGGGAAGTTTCCTACTAAATTATTAGGGTTTTAGGTTAACTACGTTAGGGTTAACGACCACACTCCGAACAGCGTTGAAAGTAATGTTCCGAGTGGATTGTCTGGACGCGTTCATTACATTGACATATTCCTGTTGCTTTAACGTTGCTGAAATTAATAAGACTTTCTTTTAGACATTTTGTATCCAGGCGTGAAGGTGGTGAACCTAATGCGCCATGATGAAAATTAATATCGCAGTTCCCGGGGTACCTGTTGATGTTCTTACCTCTATTTTTCACTTGTCTGAAAGATTGATTTCACCAAAATGACGATTTACACGGTGAAGAAAAATAATTGCTCTTTGTCAGGGTTTTCTGTATCAAATCGAAAATGTGCTTTAGAAAAATTTGGTTTACATAATAACTTCAAGTTAATTTACAATTAAATTTCAGTTCGGAAAATTCAGAAAAATGCGAAAAATATACAATATTCTGAAAAAGTCTAAGTCAATATTCACCACAGACAGAGCCGAGGAAATAGCCCACTTTTAAGATATAAGAGATATAGATATAAACAGGAATGACCGTCGCATAACAACTATATAAAACCGAAGATATTCGCATTACCTTGATGTCCAAGAATTTAATTTCGAGAGTCACATATTCTCCAAAAATATGTCAAAGAAACATTGTGTGAAATTTCATACATATTTAGCGACTAAAAGTTGTAATAGTCCATTGTTATCTTATTTCGTGTAATTTTAGTTATACTTTTTGAACCCCTAGAGATATTTATTAAAGTAGTAAATTGAAGCTTTTGATATTTCGTTGTGAAGTTAGAAATTTAGATAGAGGTGGAATATCAAAATTTAGAGGGTTTTTTTTTAGTGATTTTGTTGAAATCTGAAAGAATAAATTGGCCGTGAAACGGATGCGTATTTGTTTCTACGTATTTAATTTTCTATGGGGCTTTGTTTTTTATTTGCTTTAGGAAGTGGAGTTTATGTCGTATTTCATCTTTCTTAACCAGTACTCATAAGTTACAATGCCAAGTTGGAGCGGTACCCTGGGATTTGTAAAATCAGCAAATTTGCGAAATGAGTAACCGTTTTTTATTGGCAGGGTGGGACTTAATTACCGAATTGACGATTAAAATATATGTCCCACTTTGGTTAACAAGAATTTATATTGTAGGTGTGGTTTCATAAAGACTAGTGAGGTTTGGTTTTGGAGATTTTTTTGAGAAAAAATTGGCGTTAAGATACGATCGGGAAACATACTAGTTGAATAAATTTGCGTCGTAATGACAGCCAAGATAACAGGTTTCGTAATTTTTAAATGTATAAAAACTTTCTCATTAAGTTACTCCGCATGTGAATTAAGGACGGTTGAACTCCGCGCTTAAGAACGAGCAATATCAGTGCCCGCAATTAGAAAAACTGTAACAAAAGTTAGAAGGAATTAATATGCCGTTTAGTAAACAAACTTCTCCTTTTTCAGTAAAGACGCTTAAGTTCTCACGCATTAGTAAACTCATTAATACCATACGTTTAAAAAATTGCGTTTTCCTTGCGAGACAAACACGAAGAAACTGTTCGACAACAAAATTTCATCCTGAGGTCAACTTTTCATGGCCGTTTAAACAAAGAAAACAAGGGAAGGGTGTCTCAATTCTTTAGTCAATTTTCCATGCCATTGTCGATGTAATCGTTTACCAAAATATTGTTATAACCTCACCCTCGTTTATCTTTTATTCTATGCCTGCAAAGGCACCAAAAGTTTAGAAACGGTTAATTTTTGTTATTATAACGTTAAATTGTGGTCGCTCCACAGCTTTGAATGTTATTCTACTAAGCTTTTGAATGACACCTTATAATAGGGAAAGAATTTTTGCTTTTTTCCGTAAGAGATACGGACAATGTTGTTAAATATGAGGAGGCTACTTAAAAAAATTAATATATGTTTCTGGGCTGGAAGTTACCATAATTATCCCAGAACATTAAAATTATTTGTTGAATTGAAGTAAAGATAACTTTTTTTTAAAACATCTTAAACGGACTTTAATCCGAAGTATAATTAAAGTGCACTTGCTCTTAACATAATTCCCATACTCAAAAAGAAGAACTCCTGCAATCCCACGTGATGTCGAGCACTGTAACGGTAGCTGTAAATTTAGATTTAAACTTTTTTTAAAATTCGTTATGAAGTTAGAAGTTTTGGGCATTGGTTATCAGAGATGGAAATTTCCTTAGACCACTTTCGAGCATTCTGCCCACTACTCCGAATTAGGTTTTTCTGCAGTTTTCCTAGTTCGTAAGGGACCGGAGTAGTATAGAACGTCGACTTAAGATCCTCTGCAGAGGCACTTCTAAAAAGCATTATGCGGGTCACTCTGTAATTGGACGCAAGCCTGTTGAGGGCCCAGAATAAGAGAAGGATCATAATATAAATAAATAAATCATATAAATTTGACAGAGTATCGAAATTTAGAGGGTTGAATTGCTTTTCCAAATAAGTAATCTTTTTGGTGGAAATTCAAATAAATTTGATGGAAAATGAACCCCATCTTTGCTGTGTTGTTTAATTTGAATTTAGCATTGTTTCTTAATAGGTTTCGGAAACGTGTCGAGCCGACAGGTCCTTCCTAGCAACACAGTTCCGTATAAACAGCGTTTATTGTGGCGGATATTGCTATATTATTCTAGGAATATTATGCGTTTGTTATTTCTCATTTATATACGATTTATATGCGTAAGTATATTAAAATGGTGTTATATACATTTAATAAACGTATGCTAAATACGGTTATTTATATACAGTGTGTCCTGGGTGGAACGCTCCACAGGGAAACGGCAATGTATTTT